TCAGCACCCCGACGATCAGACTAACCTATCACAAGACCGGAACCACATCACCCAAGCTAATCGGCTACGTCGACGCTGATCACGCCGGCGACTCTGATAACAGGCGCTCGCGCACCGGCTACATCTACCGACTCGAGCCTATCGGGCCTATCTCGTGGCAGTCGAGAAAGCAGGAACTGATTGCTCTCTCCTCAGCTGAAGCAGAATATATCGCACTCTGCTCAGCCACCAAGGAAGGACTGTACCTCCGCGAACTACTGGAAGAAGCGAAGCTGGCCCAGTTACCTAGCTTCTCCCTGTTCTGCGACAACCAATCTGCAATTCGCATAGCCAACAAGAACGGATTCGCGAACAGAACGAAGCACATCGCCCTGCGATATATCTTCGTAAAGGACGAGATCGAGAAGGGGAGACTCGAGCTGTCCTACTGCCCCACGTCCGAAATGGCAGCTGATTACTTGACCAAGAAACTCGGAAAGCAGAAGTTCGAGTAATGCATGCTGCTGACTGGACAGAGCCACGTCACCAGCAGCGACACTCCAGAAGCGAAGGGGAGTGTTGGAAACAAGTGATTTAAGCGCTTCTGCTGTGTCGAAACATCAAGTCGTAAATGAAGCGAAGCACAAACGAAGCATCGGCGAGTCAACCATCGGAGGTTGACGACTGAAGTAACCGCTGGAGGTTACGCGAAGGTCAAAGGTCAGCGACCTTTGACTTAACAATACAGTGCAACAGCAAGGACAAACAACTGACTCGATACAGAGCAGTTGCCCGAGTCGTAACTGTATCGAACCACAACAGCAACAGTAAAACAGTTATTAACTGTATCTCTTCATATTCCTTGTACTCTTATAAAACCTTGTATCTCCTTGTTTTAATTAATCTATCTTGCCCTCACATACTAGCGCAAGGTGGTTCAATACTCTTCACTAAAACGCTTCCGCAACTACAACATTCCTACCCAGAGTTTAGCCCTGCAAAGATCCTAAGGGCTTTTTCTCATCCCAACAAGAATAAGCAAGCAGGGATGAATGACCTATGAATGAGTTGGGTACACGTACTAACCCTAAAGTGTTGTACCGCTTGTAGGCTAACCCACTATAGCCTAGAGAGAACACAAACATACAGTTTGACAAGGCCAAGTCTCTAAAAGATCCTAGGGCAAACCTCAGCCCAACACCATGAAACACAGCCTGTTCATTGATCAACAACTTCAACGTGCCAATGTTGCAAAGGAGTTCAATCAAGGATCCAGAGACGAAACGAAAATAATCCAACCACAAATCAGAAAAATGAACAGAAAAACTTCTGCACTTTGATGATAGGGATGTGTTATGCGTGGTTCAGGCAGGAATACGGTAAGAGAAAATCTACACTCAGCCCCACTGACAACTAAGGTTACAAGGAAAAACTGCTTCACCTACACCCAACCGCCATTGCCTTGTGCCGGACATGCCAAAGCACGGGTTGATGAAAGCAGGGTCAATGGCATGGCAGTGATGCAACATGGCGCCCTCAGCTGGTCTCCGGAGGCGCAACAAGCGCCTCCTCTGCTGCCGCCGCCATGAGCTGCTCAAAGTGCTCCGACTTGCCCAACACCACCTCCAGCTGCACTCACAAGACAGAAAGAGGGGGAGGGGTGACGCAGTGGTTGCGGGGGTGGGGTCACACACACGATGACCGAAGAGCCAGTCAGTAGAACACGTGAGAGAGGTGACGTCTGAAATATGTAGACATGGCAGTGAGAACAATGAGCAGTGGGTGTGAGCATGGTATTGCAGCATCTGTCGTGCTGGACCGCATGAACCAGCTTCACCCAACACCCATGCCTGTCTCACTCCTCGCTTCCTACCCCCCACAAACAAACACTGTGCCCCCCTGTCCCCTCCCCGTCCCACGGGTGTGACCCCCCCAGCGGGCGTGCATGTGGGTGACCTTGGGCTTGAAGGGAGCGCGCCCCCCCCTGTCGTCCGCACGCAGGTCCATGGTGCTGCACGCCACCCCTGCCACCATGGGGGGGCGCCGACGCGCAGCGCGCGGGGGAGAGTGCGTGTGAGACAAGGGGGGAAGGGGGAAAGAGAGTGAGGGAAAACGAACGAGGCTGCAGAGTTCATGTCTAGGGCAATGGAAAGGGATGGTTTTGGATGGGACAGGATGAGACGAAATGAGTTGGGATGAGAAGGGATTGAATGAATTGGGATGGTGGGAAAAGGTGGAGTGAGGAGGGGTTGGAGGTGCAAGGGTGGTGATTGGGCTCACTCTTCTCGACCGCAAAGCCATTGTTCTTCAGTATCTCCGCCACTGTCACCGCTGTTGCGATCGCTGCTCATATGCACTCACGCACATGCACACACACACACACGCACACGCACACGCTTGCACGCACGCACGCACGCACGCACGCACGCACGCACGCACGCACGCACGCACGCACGCACGCACGCACGCACACACACATACACAGAGAGTAGCATGCGAGCAGATAGACAAACGCCACCATTCGCACACACCAATTGCAACCACAGCCTCTCCCGCTCTTCCCCCTCCCCCCCACACACAGGAAACACCAGGAAGAAATGCAGGAGAATGAGATGAGACACCACGAAGAGAGCAAGAAAGAGGCCTACAGAAGGGCTGTGCGGTGCACACACATGAGGAGCGCAGCACAGCGAGAGGTGGCATGCATTATGTGGCTGCGGAGCGTGCATGCATGTGAGACACGACATGCGAGTGGCGCGCACTGGCACTCGTGCACACCCATGCACGTCAACTCGCTTCCCCATGCCACCTCTCTGCGTGCTTACGCCCCTCCCATCCTGCTCCCCTCTCTCCCTCCCCTCTCTCCCTCCCCTCACTCTCCCTCTCCTCCCCTCTCCTTCCTCCCAACTCCCTTTCCCCCTCTCCCTCCTCCCTCCCCCCCCCTTCTCTCCCTCCCCTTTTCTATCTTCCCAATTACCTGCCTTTCCCGCTTTCTTTTCCCACTACCTCCCCTCCCTCTTTTCCTCTCCTCTATCCCACCCCGTTCATCATCTTCCCACATAGAATCTTCGCCATTTTTCTTTCCTTTCTCGTCATCACCTTCCTTTTCCGTTCCCGCCTATACCCCCCCTCCCCTCCTTCCCCTCCCACCCCTTTCCCCCCCTCCGCCCCTCCCTCCTTCCCTCCCCTCAACACGCCCATCCCCCCCCCCCCCCCCTGCACCCCTCGTCCCCCCCCCCCCTCCGCCCCTTGCCCCTCCCCTTCCCCCTCCCCCTCCCCCTCCCCCTCCCCCTCCCCCTCGCCCTCGCCCTCCCCCTTACACAGGCCGAGCGCGGACAGCTCCACGTCCTCGAACTGCTGCAGCAACCGCTGTGGGCGCGGCAGGGGGAGAGGACGGGGAAGCGGATGGACAGCGGGGGTTGGGGGAAGAGAGGGGTGTGAAACGGTGAGGTGGGATGGTATGGGCGCAGGACCAAACGGGGTGGTGGAAAGGGAGGAGAATGGGGAAAGGGAAGTAAGGATAGGCGAACAGTGAAGGAGACGAGCTGGAAGGACGGCAGATTGGGTACGAGCAAGGGTGAGACGCAGCACGATAGGACAGCGTGCATTCGGCAGCATGCATTGGCCGGCATGACTGGGCGGGCAGCATTGGGCATGGCAGGAGGTGGCTGTCACTCCACTCTCTCTCGCACTCGCCTCCTCGTCGCTCACCCCTCCCGCCTTGCTTACTCCCACGCCACTGCTACCGCTCCCACTGCCCACAGCAATCCAGCCCTCCCTCCCATGCCGCCCTTTTCCCTCTCACGCGCCCAACCCAATGACGCCCTGCTCCCTCCTCCCTCCTTCCCTCCGTCTCTCCGTCCCCACCCTCTGTCCCACCTTCCCCTCCTCTCCCCGTTCCTTTTCACCACCAACCCATCTCACTCCCTCAACGCCCCTCCCGCATTCTCCTCTCCGGCATAATTCCCGTTACAATCCGCCAGCATGCCGCGTTAGAGCGCAGCTTATATCGAGGCACCTTAGCGAGGTTCACGTAGAAGTAGAGCGGCCGCTTTGAGCTCGACACCTGGATGCGGTTGCGCCGCCCCCCTGCGCTTCCGCTTCCGCTCTGCGCGGCTGCGCCGCCCGCGGCACCGTCCGCGAGCGACAGGTTGGCGGTGGCCTCGCGCACGCCGTCCATGGCAGCCCGCACGCGCGCAAGCTCGCCTCCTCCCTCGCTCGCTGCCTCAAGCCCTTCCGCTCGCTCGCTCACTCGCTCGCAACGCGAATCTCTGCAGATTCAAGTGTTTCCCGCACGGCGATTTGCGGGATTGGAATCTCCGCGCACAGCGTCGGTCGTGGAGAAAAAAACGGGAATTTTGGGGGAGGAGAGGAGTGTGCGGATGGTCAACTCTATTGTTGCGTGAAAACGAGATGTAGATTAGATCCTAGTGGTGCGATTCGCGAGGCGGCGAGGGAACGGTGGTGGTGGTGGTTTGGACTAAGTGGAGGAGGAAACAGGGTGATTGGTTCCTGGATTCATCAGTTGCATGGCGGCTTCTGGAAGGACTAAAGCGAATGAGCTTATCTGTATCCTCTCGAATCTGGTGACCCTCTCGTTATAGGAACCGTGCCTGCAACTCATTAGACGAATCGTTTGAAAACAAATTAAACACTAGAGAACATTCCTTGGCTTGCAGTCAGTACCAATGTGTGTCTAAGTGCCCCTAAAGCGCATGTTACGAGGAAAATCATATTATGTACACGCACAGCATAGTCAGCACCAATATCTGATCTGAACGATACGCAAGCCAGCCTCTCTCCGTTGTTCACCCATATGGAAACTCCTCCCGACCCTTCCACACAACCACGCACCAACACAGCACAACAAAACCGAACAGCTGTTCCCCACAGCAGTGCCCTGTTTCACTCCATCCGTCCGTGACATGGCCAGCACCTCCAATGCACAGGGCAACAGGTGGACGTTGCAGTGCACGGCACACGTGGGAGAATGAGAGTGCAGCACCGTGGAGGCGTGGCGGTCACCGGCGGCGAGAGGCGGCGCGCTTGGGGCTGCTCCAGATGAGGCAGAGAGTGGATTGCACGCAGGGCACATGGGACGGATTGTTGGGGGCAGGGAGAGGGAAGAGGGGAGGGGGAGGGGAGGAGGGACACGAAGGGGTACTTTACAGACACGAGCGATGTAAAGGCATGGGAAGATGAGATGGAGTGATGGTGGAGCGATGGATGATCGGATGCAGGTATGCAGGGCACGCGGACATGGAGGAAAGGGGTGCGGAAGATGGGGGCCAAGTGGGGGACGATGCATGCATGCATGCTTGTGTGCATGTGAGCAGGGAGTGGCAGGGGGGCAGGCAGGCAGGAGTGACTGACAGGAGTTCTGGGAGGTCCTCGTCAATGACTGGTATGGGCGTCTTCCAATAGTTCCAATCGTTGTAGTCCTCCTGATGTACCCATGCATGCACGCACCCATGCACCCATGCACCCATGCACCCATGCACCCATCCACACATGTACACGCACATGCACATGCACATGCACGCACACACATGCACATGCACATGCACATGCACATGCACATGCACGCACACACATGCACATGCACATGCACATACACGCACACACATGCACATGCACATGCACACGGCACACATGCACACGCACACACATGCACACGCACACACATGCACAAGTGCACACATGCAAAGTGCACAAGGATACAGAGAGGAGGAGCAGAGATTCAAGAGCGAAGCACAGCATGAGTAAAAGCGAAGCAGAGCACATCGCTGGTAAGGCTAACAACGGTTCAGTGCAGAGTGGCACAGCCGTGCAGCGGAGCAGGAGGAGGGGGAGGAGGAGCAGCTCGGAGCAGCGGGAGCGAGCGATGCCCACGTGGGTGAACCGTGCATGCAGCAGTGGTTCTGGCGGTGGGGCAGGCAGGCGGGAGGAGGGCGGGCAGCGCAGGCAGAGGTGCGGGCTCACGGGTTCGGGGCCTTGGGGCGTGGTGAGGGCGAAGGCGGGGAAGATGTCGTGCACGAGGTCGTGCAGCGACACGTACGACTTGGCGCTCAGCACCTTGTTCACCGTCACCTCGCCCTGTGCGTAGCACACCCAGGCGCACGGCGGGTCATTGCACGCATTGGGGGAGAGGGCGGGAAAGCAGGTGACGGAATGAGAAGATTGATTGAGTGGAGGAGATGAGGGGATCGTGAAACTTTGAAGGGGGGGGAAGAGCGGGACGAGGAGGGGGAGGGGGACGCAGAGGGGGAGGGGGACGAGGAGGGGTAGGGGGACGCAGAGGGGGAGGGGGACGAGGAGGGGGGGGGCGACGAGGAGGAGGGGAGGGGGATGAGGAGGAGGAGGAGGAGGAGGAGGAGGAGGAGGAGGAGGAGGAGGAGGAGGAGGAGGAGGAGGAGGAGGAGGAGGAGGAGGAGGAGGAGGAGGAAGGGGAGGAGGAAGAGGAGGAAGAGGAGGTGGTGATAGTGCGAGGAATGAGGGCGATAATAGAGCACATAGACTTGAAGGGGAGGAGAAAGTGTGAAGGGGAGGGGCGGAGTAGGGGCAGAGGAGAGGAGCTGGAAGAGGGCGTGAGTGATAGGTCGGGGGAGTTTGCACAGGCTTACTCATGGCACGACACACACAGCACCTCTTTTGGGCTGCCATGCTCACCCATCACTTTCCCTCCCCACACCCGCCCCAGCCCATTCCCTTTCGCACGCCCCATGCTTGCTCCCTCTGCTTTGGTGGAGCCCACTCAGCATACACACCCCATGCCCCCCAGATTGTAGCCCATGCCCTGGGGTGGGGTTGAGCGCGAGGGGCTTGCCTTGGGGTTGATTGTGAAGATCTTGCCGCGTGCGATGCCCATGGCCTCGTACGACACCGCGTCCGTGTCCCGGTTGCCAAACCCCGCGTAGAACGGATTCCCCTCCACCGGGAACAGTGCTCGGATGTCCTGCACGGCGGGGGACGAGGAGGAGGTGCGGGGTGTGGGGGGTGGGGGAGAACGGGGCATGGAATGCAAATAGGAGAGGTGCAAGAGCAGGGGAGGAAAACTTAGGGTTAGAAGGAACGGACAATGTATGTTGAGCTTGTGTGGGGGCGGCGAGGGACAGGAAATAAAGGGAGCACGGGTGGCCACGGAGAGAAGCAGGTGAGAGTTTTAGCGCCTAGTGTGGATAATGGAGGAGCGGACAGGAGTTGAGGGAGGAAGGAGAAGGGGGTGAGAGAGCGCGGGAGGGAGGAAGAAAGGTGGGGATGGGAAGAGGGGTGCAGGCGACGCACCGAGAGGCATGCGATTTTGAACTCGTGAGGGGCCCTGCGAATGACTGGTGGGTTAGAGTGGCGGGACGAGCGGGGAGGGTGGGGAGGAAGATGCAGGGGAAAAAAAGGAGGGACGATGAAGAAGGAGGACATTGGAGCATGCAACAACAAGGTAGAGCTCCACATATGCACGTGGGGCATGTCCCCTGTGCCATGCGTCATGTGCCTTGTGCCATGCATGCAATGAGCAAGGTGCGAGTTATCAGAGGGAGCAAAGCAGAAGCACGGGCGTGGGTCCCACACAGCGCACCTTCACGGTAGAGCGAGGGGAAGAGCCCGTCCGGTGAGATGACCACGGGGCCCTCCGGCAGCGAGAACTCCCCGTCCTGGTGGGGGGGGGCACGGGAACAATGCGCGCATGCACGTGGGATGAGGGCAACGAGAGCAGTGCGGGGAGAGGAAATGGAGAAGGGGGACAGGGCGAAGGTGGAGAGGGAGGGAGGAGCGGAGGAGTAAGTGTAAAGATGCCACGAGTGTGTTTGAAGCACACACAGTTGGGCGACAAGGGGGGACGATGGGGGCACAAGTATGGAAAGAGCGGAAGTCGAAGAGGGTTTGGGGGGTCACAGTGGCATGCAGATCATTGGCCCTGGCAGGCTCATGGACGCGCAGGAATGGGGGGGGGGGGGGGCAGTGGGAGAGGAGAGGACGATGACGCGAGAGAGGTACGCGGAGTGCGGCACGAAGCGTGGTGTGGAGGGAGGGCATGGGAGGGAAGGAAAGGGAAGGTGGGGGGAGGATAAGGGAGACGAAGGACCGAGAGGGGAGAGGCGGGGAGGGGAGGGGAGAGGCGGGGAGGGGAGGGGAGAGGCGGGGAGGGGAGGGGAGAGGCGGGGAGGGGAGGGGAGAGGCGGGGAGGGGAGGGGAGAGGCGGGGAGGGGAGGGGAGAGGCGGGGAGGGGAGGGGAGGGGAGGGGAGGGGAGGGGAGGGGAGGGGAGGGGAGGGAGGGGAGGGGAGGGGAGGGGAGGGGAGGGGAGGGGAGGGAGGGGAGGGGAGGGGAGGGGAGGGAAGGGATGGGAGGGGATGGGAGGGGAGGGGAGGGGAGGGGAGGGGAAAGTACCTGGCGCAGGGAGAAGAGGAAGGAGCGAGTGAGCGCGGCCTGCTGGATGGCCCTTGCGCTGAGAAACAACAGCTCGTAGCCATTGGCCTGGGGGGAGGGGCGTGCGATTAATGGGCAGAGGCAGGTGAGGCACACAGTGACAGCGAAGGCAGGCACGATGGTGATTGGTGTAGGTGGGGTGCACAGGCGAGAGGGCATGGTGGTCGAACACACGGATGATGGCATGTGCACAGGACGCGAGAGAGGGGTGGAAGCTGCACATACGGGGTATCATGGGACGGTGAATGGTTGAGGCGCAATATGCATGCTTCAGCGTGGGCTATACAGCAAGGCATTGTCGTGGGGCAGCAGCGACGCATGTGGATCACACACAAGCATAAATGCATGTGTGGCGGGCATGGTGGACATGGTGGGTGCAATAACGCACCCGGATGGCGGTGAAGAGCCTGGCCACGCCGATCTGCGTCCAGTCCGCTCCCATCAGCGGCATCACCTGCCCCAACACGTCCGACCTGCTCCGTGCCACGACGGTGGGCGGACGGGTGGAGCACACAGCGATTGAGGTTGGGGGAGAAGGGCGAGGGAGGACGGGAGAGGAGCGCAAGGAAAAGTGAAGAGAAGAGTGGAAAATACACACAGTCCATGGGCAGGCATGCGGCTCATGGGGCTCCACCAAGCACGTGGCTCTTGGGTCATCATCACACCTACCCCCCTGTCCCTGCCCCATCCCCACATCCTTCCCCCGCACCCCCTCCCCCCCCAGTGAGCGAGGGCATACTTGGTGATGGTGCCGTCCACGTCGCTGATCACGATGCGTGTGTTCCAGCGCCACACGAACAGCGAGCACTGCACCTCCTGCCGCCCCCACATGCGAGTGGTGAACGTCAGCTGCACGCGGTTCTTGCCCTCGCGCAGCCCCAGCGCCTTCAGCTGCTCCGACGTCGGTGTCAGCGACCGCACGTGCGTGGCGCGCTCGTAGAACTCGTTCTCGCGCTCCCGCAGCATCAGCTGCGCCTGCTGCCCCCCCCGCAGCAACCCCGGCTGCGCGAACCGCACGGCAGCGGCGGCAGCGGCGGCGGAAGCAGCGGCACCGCCCCCTGCGGCCTTGCTCCTCTCCATGTGGATGGCCACGTTGGCTGCTGCTGCCGCTGCCAGCATCACGTCTGCATGCACAGCCCCTCCACTCATCACCTTCGCTGCCATCCCCGCTGCTCCCACCGCCCCCCCTGCCCCTCCGCGCCTCCCCCCAAACGGCCAGAGGCGCCAGCCTCCCCCCTCCGCGCCCCTCACCACCAGCTGCTTCTGCTCCTGCCCGGGCTTAGGCGCCGGCGGGGGAGGTGGAGGCGGTTTTTCCACAGGAATGGCGCCATCGGCGTCCAGCAGGGGAGGCATCATCTGGCCGAACGCGAGCATGCCGACGAGCTTGGGCGCGGCGACGGACCAGGGGTAGTACCTGTGGCCCACCCTGACAACGAGGCGGTCGTTGGAGAGGATGGAGGCGGCGTTGCAGCGGAACTGGTGCCACGTGATCTTGGCGGCGTTGAACACCGTGGCCGCCGCGTCGCTGCCCATCTTGGCGAACAGCAGGTGCCGGCACACCGCCAGCTCCAGACACGGGTCCTGGGAGCGTGCAGGAGCGGTGGGGGGGGCGACTGGGAGGTTGTCGGAGAGCGGCCCGCTGGGTACCAGGGCTGTTGGCGGGTCGGATGGTGCTGCTGCTGCTGCTGCTGGTGCTGATTGTGGTGGTGCAAGGACAAGAGCAAGAGCGGTCGACTCCGAAGCAGGAGCAGAAGCGGCAGCAGCAGCAGCGGCAGGAGGAGTGGAAGGTGAGTGGGCAGCAGGAGCATGGGGCGTCGGCGATGGTTCTTCTGCTTCGCTGGCTTCCACCTCCTCCTCCCTCACTCCCTCCCCTGCCTGCCCCATGCCTCCCTCCCCCCTCCCTTCCTTCTGCTCCTGCTGCTGCGGCACTTGCCACTCGCCTTGTGATATCGGCACGTCACCACGCACTTGCTCACTCTCAGGAACAGCTGCTGGCTCCAAATTCCCCTCTCTCAAGGCTTCTTCGGTCCCTGCCTCACCACCCTCAACAGCATCAACAGCAGCAACAGAAGTATCAGCAGCAGCATCAGCATCATCCGCAGCAGGCACGTGGTGTGGCGGAGCAGCAGTGGTGGTGAGTGTCAGCGGCACCACAGATGGTGCAGCATCCACCACTGACCCACACCCACCCTCTGCTGCTGCCACTGCCACACCGCCACCACTCTCCCTGCCACTTGCTGCCCCTGCACTCACTCTTGCTTCTGTGTCTGTTTCTGCTTCTGCAGCTTCTGGTGCGACTTGTGCAATTGTACTGCTTGATGCTTCTGTTTCCCCCTCATTCCCCGCCGCTGCTCCCTCAGCCCTCTCTCTCTTTGCCACCACCACTCCATCCTCACGTGCCGTCTCATGCAAATCACTCACATGCCCCTCCCCATACTCCTCACCCTCTGTCAAACAAGTGTCCTCCTTCGCACCCTCCTCCTTCGCACCCTCCTCCTTCGCACCCTCTTCCTTCGCACCCTCCTCCTTCGCACTCTCCTCCCCACCCCCCACTTTCGCACTCTCCTCCTCCCCACCCTCCTTCGCATTCTCCTCCTTTCCCCCCTCCTTCCCACCCTCCTCCACGCACCCTGCGCTCACCAGCACACCAACCAGTGCAGCAGTGCCCGCCCCTCCACTGCTGACGCGTGCACCTGCACTGTCGCCCCCCCCTTCCACCACCACGCCCTCACCATTCTCCTCCTTGCCCATCTCGCCCTCTTCTCTGCTTGCCTCCACAGCCCCGCCACGCTCCTCTCTCCCTCCGCTGCCCCCCTCTCCAGAGCCCTCCTGTAACCCCTCCTCTTGCACCTCCCTCGCTCTCTTCTGCTCCTCGCGTCCAGTCCCTGCCACTTCACCATCACCAACGGCATCGCTCCCACTGCTACCTGCCGCACTAACATCCACAGCCGCACCTGCCACTCCCTCCTCGCCCCTTCCTCCCTCACTCGCAACCTCACCGCTCCCTGTATCACCGCCCTCCACTGCACTCCCTCCCCGCAGCCCCTCCCCTACCAGCTTCTCCCTTTCCTCTGCTCTCTGCCCTTCTCCCTCTTCCTCCCTTTTTACCTCTCCCTCCCTTTCTCCCTCGCCCTTCTCTACCCCATCTCCTCCCTCTTCCCCCTCTTTCTCTTCATTCTCCTTCCCTGCCATCATGACACCACGCATTGAGCTACCGCCATCCTTCTCACCGTGCTCGCCTCTCTCGTGCGCCTCACCCGCCTCTGCACTGTGCACAACCTCCCTGCTCTCTGCCCCACCACCACCACCACCACCACTAACTTCACCTGCCTCTCCTACCTTTCCACACTCCTCTTCCTTACCTCTCTCCCCGATGCTCTCCTCCTCCTTTTCCCCCTTTCCTTTCTTCCCTCTTCTTTTCCTCCTCTTCTTCTTGCCCCCCCCACCTGCCTTTCCACTCCCTGCGCCCTCCTCCTCACCGTCCTCCTCTCTCGCCTCCACCTCAGCCTCACCCCCTGCCTTCAACTCCCCATTCCTCCCCTCCCCTTGCACCAGCCCCTTCCCTTCACGCTCCTCGCCCTCGCCATGCCCCTCGTGTCCCTCCTTTCCATCACGCCCACTACTGTCACACTCACTGGCACGGCCGCCACACTCGTTGCTGTCACCGTCACCATGGGAGACAGGGGCCGGCAGAGGCTGTGAGGAGCCTCCACCTGTCTCTTGCAAAACCCCCACGGATTCCAAAGCTGTCACTCCTTCACCGCCCCCTGCCGTGCCTGCTGCCGTGCCCTCCTCACCGCTGCCCCCCTCGGCTCCTGCACTCTCAGCCGCCCGTGCAGCCTCCTCTGGTCCACCATCTGCTGCACAAGGAGCCGCGCCTGCTGCTACAGCAGCCGTAGCATCAGCGGCACCAGTAGCAGTTGCAGTAGCAGAAACGGAAGCAGCAGCAGCAGTAGCAGCAGCAGCAGTAGCAGCAGCAGTAGCAGCAGCAGCAGCAGTAGCAGTTTCAGCATCATCAGCACTAGCAGCAATGGGAATATCAGCATCCGTGGCAGCAGCAGCAGCAGCAGCAGGAACAGAAAAAGTGGCAGAATCAGCATCAGTAGCATCACGAGCACGAGCAGCAGCAACGAGAGCAGCGGCGGCATGAGCAACAGCAGCAGCGACCTTGCTGTCCTCTGCTACTAGATCCACCCCTCCTGCTCCTCTCCGCCCCTCCTCGCCTCTGCCCTCCTCACCCACCATTCCTGCAACACCTGCCGCCTCACCCTCGCTCTCATCCCGGCCGTCCACTTCATCAGGTTCCACACAGACACCTGGCACCATGGCATTGGCCAGCTCCACTGCTGGTATCGGCTCTGCTTCGACCCCTCCTCTACGCTCCTCTACATCTCTCACCGAATCCCCGCTCTCCCTCTCTTCCCTCTCTTTCTCCGCCTCCTGCTCTTCCTTTGTGTGATCTGCCTCCTCTCTGTCTGCCTCACCTCGACCCTCCTGTGCGACCTCCGTCTCGCCAGATCCCTCCACAGAGCCCCCCGAGTCAGAGGGCGACTTCTTGAACGAGTAGAACCGCTGATTCTCCGACAGCGCTCGCCTGAACACATCCCTCTTACCGGCCCCGCCCACCTCCCCCCCTTTTCCATCTGCCGTCTCTGCCTGCCCTCCCCTTTCATCCACACCCCTCTCTGCTGCACCTGCACCCGCAGCAGTATCAGCAGCAGCAGAACCACGAGCAGGCATGGCATGGGCGAGGGCGGTGTGTGCATGAGCGTCGGCGCTGCTGGTGCGGGACAGCTCCACGGGCGACAGGCTGTGCAGGCTGGCGGAAGACGAAGACGACGACCCACTGCCGCCCCGCTCCACCGACGCAAACGACACCCTCCGCCCCTCCTCCCCTTCCCATTCCTCCCCGTCCCCCTCCTCCCCCTCCCCTTCCTCTCCTCCTTCCTCCCCCTTCGCCCCCCTCTCCTGCCCCCCGGCGCCCACCCCTGACGATCTGCTATCGCCCCCCTGTGCGCTCTTGCGGCGCCTGAGCTGCGACTCCTCCACCCACTTGCGGTCGAACAGCTCCTCTATCAGCTCCGCCGAAGCTGCCTCCCCGCCCCGCCCCGCGCTCCCTCTACCCTCGCCCTCATGCGCCCCTCTCTCCTCCCCTTCCCCGTGCTCCCTGCCACTCGCCCTCGCCCCTGCGCCCTTCTCGCTCTGATCGTCCTCTCCTCTATCCCGCCTCCTCTCCTCCCCTCCTCTCCCCCCCCGCCTCCCCACTGCCCTCCCCATCGCCTATTTCGAACTCCACCACGCGAGTCCGCCCCCCTCTCTGCCGCACACCCACTTCTCCCTCGCCTCTCCCTGCGTCCCCACTCGCCCCACCCTCGCCCTTTCCCCCACCTGCCCCGCCGTTCCCTGCGCCCGAGCCACCATCACCAGCAGCGGCAGCAGCAGCAGCGGCGGCGGCGGCAGCAGCGGCGGCCTTCTGCTGTCTTGACCGCCAGCTGAACCAGCTCCAGCTGCGCCTGCCCGCTGGCGCTGCGCCCTGCTGCCGCGCGCTCTCGTCCTTGCGCCTCTGCATGTCCGCGTACTCGCCCTCGCACGCCCACGGCGCATCCTGAATCACCTCCGCTGCCTGCACCACCACCTGCCGCCACCGCTTCTCCCTCTCCCTCCCCTCCCTCAGCACCGGATCCAAATCCGCTTCATCGCTCCCCTCGCTCCCTCCCTCCTTCTCCTCTCCCGCGCCCCCACCATTCTCCCCCGCGCCCTTCCGCGCCGGACCAGCCCCAGCGCCTGCGCCCGCATTCCCCGCGCTCCCCGCGCGCGCAACGACCAGTGCGAGGTCTTGCACGGAGGAGGACACGGACGCGGGCGCGGAGGCGGGGGCGAGAGCAGGCGGGGGAAGCGGGAGGTCGAGGTCGGAGTGATCCGCGAGCGACCCCGCGCTGCTGCTCGCCACCATGCCCACGAACGGCGCGCTCGCGCTCATTCCGCTTGCGCTCGCGCTTGCGCCCAAGCTTCGTACGCTCTTGCCCGCGCCCGAGGAAACGGCTGCTTGCGTGGCAGACGCGAGCTGCGCTGCAGTGGCGTTGATTCCCAGCGCTAGGTCCGACGCGCTGCTCGCTGCCGCTGCTCTCCCTCCCTCCAGCATGGGATCAGCCAACTCGTTGCTGCTGCCCGCACTACGAGACTGCTTCAATCGCGAACGGCTTAGCGACCCCGGCACGGGCGACACTCCGCCGCCCACCGACGCAAGCGCGGTCGCGGCACCGGCAGGTAACGCGCCCGCACGGGGCCGAGGCGGGGTCACGTTGAGCGACGGGTCTACCTGCGACGCCGCCAGCTGCGATAACACCTGCGACGCGCTCGCGTCGTCGCCATCGCCCCCTCGTTCGCTCTCTGCAGGCCCTGTAACTTCAGCCGCCTCGCCGTCCCCGGGTGGCACTGCGGAAGAGGCAGCGGGTTCCGTTGCGTCGATCAAGTCGGACTGCGAGTGGCTTCGAAACAGCTGCCGCGACAGCGACGAATCGTCCCGCGTGCGACCCAGCGACGGCAGCGACCCCGTGGACGACGGGTGCTCGGGCACCGACAGCGTGTGCGACAGCGCGCGACTGCCGCCGGGGCTATCATCACGGTTACCACCAGCAGCACCAGCTTTAAACCCGGGCGGCTTTTTCCCGGAGCGCACGACGCGGTAGGGCGACTTGGCGTCGGTGAGGATCTTGCGGTTGGCCTCCGCCATCATCTTGAGCAGCTCCGGCTCCACGCCCGCCGCGCGCGCCATGGCCAGCTCCTCCTCCTCCAGCAGCTCGATCTCCCGCACGTCCACCTTCAGCCTCCCGCCCTTGCCCTTCCGCGCGCCCCGCCCCGCCCTCGCCTTCGCCTTTGTCTTCCCTGCCACCCCTGCTGTGTCCGCCGCGGCTGCTCCCTTGCGCTGCTGCTGCTCGCCCTGCCCTTGCCCTTCCATCTCCATCTCCTCCTCCTCCTCCTCCTCGCCGCTTTCTGACCCCGCACCCCCCTCCGCCCCCTCATCTTCTTCCTCGTCCTCCTCTTCCTCCTCTTCCTCTTCCTCCTCGTCCCCCTCCTCCTCCTCCTCGTCGCCACTACCAGCGCCGGTGCCGGTGTGGCGGAGGAAGAAGGCCTCGCCGTTGCTGTCGAGGAACATGTGCAGATCCACCTCCACCTCGTTCACGATTATCGACACCACGCGCTCGCGCCGCTTCAGCACGCCCTGGAAGTTGCCGAACCGCACGTACCACGGCGAGCTCTTGAGCGACCCGTCCGGCTGCTGCACCACTATTATGTCCACGGCGCCGCCGAACGGGTGGAACGGGCCCGAAACCGAGGAGATTAATCTACCCATGGATCCCATGATGGCGCGCGACGGCGGGAAATTGGTTACGTGTAAGGCACCTCAAAGGTTTGCGATCTGATGGCCGGAAAATCTAAAGCCGGAACAATCGGTAGGGAGGAGATTGTGAGAAAGTCCGGTGAAATTAGGCAGCATGCGACGACTACACGCACAGGCGGTGAGGAATCATTTAAAATGCGACGTAAACAAAACGCCAAATTTCGCGCACAAACGCAAAAGAAGAGGCTACTACACGGAAAGAATCAATTAAAATCTATAACACACGGAAAGGGAAGCATCCTCTGCACCCACCCTGCTGATGCGACTCACAAGCACAGCATGCCCCTGGTCTGCACCACTACCCCCACCATCCACGCCGATCTAGCCTCCTCCCTCGCACTCGCCCTCACATGGAATCGCTTGCAATTGTGCTGATGTGAAGTGACACTGGCATGAAATGCTCCAACCAACCAGACTCAACCACCAGTGCGGAATATTGCAGAATGGTTGCGTGGGTGCTGTGTGTACAGGAAATGGAACGGAATGGCGTGCGGTGGGTGGGGGGTTCCGCTGACGGCTAGCAGTTGAAGTGGAAGGAAAGCGGCTGTGGGCGGGATTGGGGGACGATGATGACGACGGTTGCTTTGACCGACATGGGATTGTGCGGCAAAAGGAGGGCGACACTAGCGCGTATGGCTTTTTTCTGTGTTGGACTCGCGTGGTCGTGCTGTGCGGTGGATGTGCTTTCGGTAACATCGAGGCAGCCTGCTTCGTTTGCCTGCTGTCGCTGAAGCAGCTCATTGGTGGAGATTGAGAGACGAAAATGGAGGACCGGTGTGCACCGTCGATTGATCATTATTGGGTTCATCAATTGTGGATTCCTCGAATAGATGCCGTGCAAAGAGATTCCTTAGAACCCGATATTACCATTTGACACATGCAGTACAGTTGTAATCGTATATAACAGATTTACAGCACATGTGAGGTACCTAAAGTAATTTCTGATGCATCAAGCACTCGCCAACACTTCCCCTCCGCAACGAACTCTTATAGGAATACATGCGTACTCAAGTCTCCATCTCCCATCTGTCATCATCCACGACCTTCTCTTCGCACACAGAGGCCGGAAAACAGGAAGACGCTGCAAACAATCCCTGATCAGACCCCCCCTTGGCAATTGTTCTTTTCCCCAAACAAATTGCGTCCTCCACTGGGCCTTTCGCTCTCTCTTGCACTTGCATGCCTTCGACCCTGGCATCTCTCTTCTTATCTCGCCCTTCTGCTGCTCTACCCCCTACCCCGTGCATCCTCTGCAACAGCAGTGCCCTCAGCTCCTTCTCCCTCTCCGCCTCCACACCCCTACCCTCCCCCTGCCGTCCACCTCGTGCCTTCTCGCCCTTTCCCTGCTCCACCTCTTCTGCTCCGCCCCACTCTCCATTGTTCCCCACATCCCCGCATATCCTCCTCTCGGCTCTTTCGTTCTTCCCACTCTCCCCTCCACTCCAGCTCTCCCACGCCTGTCCCCTCCCGTCCGTAGCCCTCCACCCCTCCCTGGAGTCTACGTGCAACACTGCCCTCTCGTTAACCTTGCCAGCACATGGACTTCTCTCCTCCCTGTGCATCCCTCCTGCACTCCCTCGTCCCACATCAGGTCGCCTCGCCTCCTCACCTCCACGCACACCCGCTCGCCTTACCCGCCCGCCTGCTCGCCTCTCCCACGCGTGTGATTCCCTGCCTTCCTCCCCATGTCTCCAATCCACCTCCTTTCCTCCCTTCCACAGTCTCTGCCCCTCAACTTCCCTATCTACTCTCTTTCGCCTCCCCTCCCCTCCCTCGCCTTGTATTCCCCATCGTTCCCCCTCCCCATCACTCAACCTCCCCCTTCGTCCACTCTCATCCCTCCCATCACTCCCACCACCATCACTGCCATCCCCCCTCAACCCACACGCCCTCTCTTCCCTACCTCTCTCCACAGACTTTCCCCTCCTTTCTCTCCGCTTCTCCTGCCCCTCCCTCTCGCCAATCTCCTTTCTTTTCCCCTTCTTCCTTCTCTCCTCCCTCTCCTCCCTTTCCCCCCTATCCTCTCTGTCCCCCCTCTCCTCCCCCTCGCCCCTGTCACTCCTACTCTCATTGCTCCTGCCATCACGTCCCTCCCACCCCCGCCTGCCCCTCCCTCGCCCCTCCACTGCACTTCTCCCTTCATCCGCTCTGCTCCGCCCCTCCTCTTCTGCTCCTCCTCCCTGCCCTCTCTTCCCCACTCCACTTTCTCCCTCTCCTTCCGCCCCTTCCCCCTTCTGCGTCGCACCTTCCCGTTTCCTCCCTTTCCTGGTCCCCAGTTCTCCAACAATCGCCTTCACCTCACCACCACTATCATCCCCCCCTCTCCCCACACCCTCCGCCAATTCTCTGACCCCTTCCTCTTCCTTTGCTCCCATCTCCTTCCCCTCCCCCGCGCTCCTCTCCCTGCCCCCCTCGCTCCTCTCCCTGCGCGCCTCAAACTCCCTCTCATAATCCCTGGCCCCCCAGCCCCCCCCATACAGCCCCTGCATCTGCTGCTGCCACAGCAGGGGCGGCGGAGCGTCAAAGTCAGCCCACTCGTAGTCGCCATGGGGGTTGGCGAAGGGGTGCAGGAACGGGCACGAGGGGCCACGTGGACAGCGCTGGATGGGAGTGAGTGGGAGGGCGGGCGGGGAGAAGGAGCCGGAGGAAAGAGAGGCGTGGTTGGGGGTGGACGGGGCTGGGAGGGGGTGTGGGAACAGACAGGTGGGCATGCAGGGATGGTGCTGTGTGTGGGAGAGGGGACGCGGGTGGGGGTCATACAAACGTGCGTGCGGCTGTGAATGTGCGGGTGTGAATGTAGGTTCATTTAACACTTGACATGATGACAATGACCACCGCAGCATACAGCTCTCTCTCCCTCTCCTCCATTCAACACGCCACACTCATCCACCCGTTTGCCTCCTTCCCTCCACTTTTCAACCTCCACTTCCCCCACTTTCCTACCCCGCTCCCCTTCCTAAAACTCCTCCCAGCACTCTCTCCCTCACCTTGCCCTTCCTACGGTACTCTCCACAAATGGCGTTGCGCCACCTGTCAATGGGTACCAACACACATGCCAGCTGGCGGTGAGGGGAGGGAACGGGAAGAGGAGGATGTAAGGGGCGGGGGGCAGAGAAGGGGATGGCAGGAGAAGGAGAGATTGCGCATGTGTGCGAGTACAAGGCGAACGTACCATGGACACATGCACCCATGCACATGGGCACATGGGTAAGATCCAAACGCATGTACTTGCTACGAATTGTGAAAGTACTCCTTATAACGGTATCAACAACATGGCATGCCTCGCAGCAGCGTGTATCAGCACGCATTCCACCATGCTGCTCAGTACCCGCCTTCACCCACGCACCTCATGTGCCTTCACACGCACGCACCCACCCACGTGCCTGCCACTCCAATTCCCCACCCGCCCACCCACCGACTCCCACCGCACACGCACCTGGTGGCGGCCGTAGAAGCGACCTGCCATGGCAGCGAGGGCGGCAGCGGCGTGGGTGGGGTGCAGGTAGTCCACGTACACACTGCCGCGCAGGTGGGCCGCCGCGTTGCGACACACCTGCCGGGGGGAGCATGGGCGGTCGGTTGGTGGTGGGTGGGTGGGTGGGGGGCGAGAGAGGAGCATGAGAGAGAGGGCGAGGGGAGAAGCACGTAGGGTGGGCGAGGAAGGTGTGCCGGCATGCGACACAGTCACGCTTGAGCATAACTCAACGCATAAGGGCGATGGTGACATGTGAGAGGTACGGCACAGCAGGTACGGCACAGCAGGTGCGGAACAGCAGGTGCGGCAGAGCAGGTGGGGAACAGCAGGTGCGGAACAGCAGGAGCGGAACAGCAGGAGTGGAAGAGCAGGAGCGGCAGAGCACTGGCCTTGAAGTTGTAGATCTCGCCATACTTCTGGAACTCCGTGTGCAGGTCCGTGTAGAAGCACTCGTACGACTCCCCCCCATCGCCCCCTGCCCACCCCCACCCCACCTCCTGCTTCTCCCCTTGAACAGCCCCTTCCTTCGCCCCTCGCTGCACCATGGCTTGCGTGGTGTCCCACTCCTGGTCCAGGTAGTAGTTCACCCCCCGTGCATGGCACGCACGCGACGGGCTGTCAGCCTGCTGTGAGGATGGATAGGTGGAGAGCGGTGGGAGTGTGCGGGGTGTGGCCTGCACTGTGGTGCTTGAAGAATGGGGAGGGTGGGAATTAAAGCAGGAAAAGGACGGAGAGCGGTGGGAGCGGAGGGAAAGGAAACTGCAGGAGAGAGAGCAGAAGAAAAGAATGGGAAGCAAGGGACGGAGACGAGGGAGAGGAGAGGAGACGAGGGGAAGGAGAAGCAGAGGAGGAAAGGAAAGCCTGAAAAGCTGCTCTTGCAGCAAGGGAAACGGAAGTGACACAAGGAACGACAAGCAAGGAGACTGGCAGCGGTGGGATGACGACGAAAAAGTGGGATGGGGGAAGAAGAACAAGGGCCGGGTAACGGAATGATCAGTGAGTGGATGAGTGAAGTGGGTATTCTGCTACATGCTGCTGTTGCTGCTGCTGCCACTGCTACGACTGCCACTGCTGCCGCTGCTTGTTCTGCTGCCGCAGCTGCTTCTGCTGCTGTTGAAAGCTTCTCAGGTCAGACGAGGGTTACAAACCCCCGGAGATGAGGCAGAGAAACTCTTTGATAGTCACGTGCTGATCGGAGGTACGTGCAAGGTGTTATTGCAGGCCGTCCAGAAAGGCGCAGTGGGTCGTGTGATTGGTTGGGTGGTGGGGACATCGGGGTTAAGGATGGCATGGCATTGCACAGGTAGGGCGACTCAGATGGCGACAGGTGCGTGCGGAGGCGGGAGAAAGGAGAATCGAGCGAGAGGAGCGAAGTAGGGAGGGCGAGGAAAGAGGGAGATAGGGATAGAGAGAGGGGTAGAGGCACAGGGAAGGATAGGAGAGGGACAAAGTAGGGAGGAAGGAAAGAAGAGGCACAATGACACAGGCACATCAAGCATGCCCTAAACGTTATTAAGGTTCTGACAAACCCGCAGCACTTGAGAGTAGTGATGCACGCAAGAAGCAGAACAAAAAAAACACACCCGACTAAACCCCTGGGCTGGGCGGATGAGCAAGCAGGCAAGCACGGCAGTGAATGGCACCAACCTCTGACGCGGCAGCAGCAGAAGCACAGGAGGACGAGGTGAGAGGGGGCAAGCCCGGGCCTTGGTAGAGGTTGGGGAGGAGGAGAGTGTGAGTGAGGTGCGGGTGAGGATATGAGTGCAGGCGCGTGCAGGAGAGGCCGTAGCGACAGGCACCCGTCTTGAGGAAGAAGGGGCAGGGCGGGGGCAGCTGCAGGGGGGGGGGAGACAGCACGGGAGGGCAGGGGGTGATGCAGAGAGGAGGGAGAGACGGTGGGTGGTGACGAATGGACTACGAGAAGGGAAGGCAATATAAGGGAAGGTATAAGCGAGCAGGTGGGGGGGGAGAAAAGGATGAGGAGCAGGTGAGAGCAGCAGGCATGAATGACCTTGTAGTTGGGCGCGTGGGAGTTGCCACATGCAGCTGCGTCTGCACACCATGGTGCTGTCACACCGCCTTCTCCTCCTCCTCCTCCCGCCGCCACAAGCGCTGTTGGTACTGCTGATGCTTCCAGCAGCACCGCCTGTGCGAGTGCTTGCACTCCTGGGAAATGTACCCTGCTGCCATGTGATGGTAGCTGCAGCACAGCGCACAATGCACCCGCCGCAGTGGGAGCAGTGGCAGGTGCGGCAGCAGAGGCAGGGGGAAGGGCTGACGCCATCGCTGCTGCTGCCGCCGCTGCAGCAGCAACCATTGTGGCCGATGCAGCATCAGGTGCGGCAGCAGCAACAGCAGGAGAGCGGATGGCAGAGGGCAAGCGAGCAAAGGGAGGCACAGGGAGAAGGGACGAAGATGGGGGAGGAGCTTTGGCATGCGTGGGGGGCAGTGGTGCGGACAGGAGAGGGGGGAGTAGGGAGGCGGGTAGAGGTGCGCGAGGTGCAGAGAGAGGTGGGTGCATGGGTAATGGGAGAAGAGCAGAGGCACATGGAACTGCGGCCTGCTGCTGCTGCTGAGTCTGATTCTCCTGCTTCTGGGTCTGGTGCGCCAGCACTGCATGCGTTGTGGTATGTGAGGAGGTGACTCTGCGGCTGGTGAGCAGAGATGCTGAGGGCGCCGCTTGCACGGACAGTGATCGCTGCAGCGAGACAGACGGAGGAATGGGGACAGCGAGCGAGGGGGGGAAATGGGGGTTGGGAGATGATGAAAGAGAGAAAACAAGGGGTGACAGGGGATGAGTGGAGGGGGAGGTAAAAACTGGAGCACATGTGGACAGACACACGGACGAGTTGTCCCAGGACCCAACTGCAACGCACATCCACCTTCTCTTCCTCGCCTTCACATCACACCCCTATCATCTCGCCCAACTACACCCAACCATGACAAATCAGACGCCTTGTTTCTTATTTCTAAACACCCTCCCTCTCCCTCTCTGCACGTCAACTCAAGCAAGCATACACTAGCAAGCGAGTGCCCATACCGTGCCAGCATCCCCTGCTGTGCGCGTCTCACGTGAACCCCCCTCCGCACCACTGCCACCATCTGCACTCGCTTCCCCTGCTGGCACTGCTGCTGCCACGCGAACACGCACGGGCACAGCAGTGCCGGGCACCTCCCCTGGCAGGCACTCGCCCTTGCGGCGGCGCATCTTGACACGCCTCTTGCGCACTATGATGTCGTCGCCCTCCCACACTATGTCCGGCACGCCCCCCACCTCCACCTCCACCTCCTCCTGCTCCTCCTCCTCCTCTTCCTTCTCATCCTCCTCATTCGTCTGCTGCGAGCCTGCGCGTTTGTCCTCCCGCCCTGCTGCCGTTGCGCCTGCCACTGCTGCCGCTGCAGCAGCTGCTGCTTCCTGGTTTGACGGAAGAGGGAGAGAATGGAGCGGGGAGATGGGGGAGTGGAGGTGGAGGGAGAGACGGAGGGAGGGAGTGGAATAAGATTGCGTGGCAGCTGCAAGGAAGCGCGTGGCGGGAGGGACGGCAGCAAGGAGAGGGAGCGGATGGATTGGAGTTAAGCAGCCCAGCCGACGGCAGAGCACAAGAGCAATCCGCCTCCTTCCCCCACTTGCAGAGCCTGTCACTTTTATCCGCCTTGGTCTCCCGTGCCTGTCTACCCTCCTCCGCCCGCCCTCCGCCCTCCCTACCCAGCGCGTCGTTCCCCTTGCTGCTACCCTGGCTCACCTCTTTCCACGTGCGCCTCTCCTCCGCCCTCCTCTTCTCCTCCTCGATCTCCCTCTCTCGCGCCAACCATCGTCGCTCACCCTCCTCTCTCGCCCTCCTCTCCTCGTCTTCCACCTCTCTCCGCCGCCGCTCCTCCTCTATCCGCGCCCAGCGTTCTGCGCTGCCCGCTTCCGCCCGTCTCTCCCGATCCTCCTCCTCCCGCGCAAGGACTTCCGCCGCGGCAATCGCGCGTTCCCGCCGTTGCTGCTGTCTGCGCGCCCTCTTCGCCGCGCGCCGCCGCTCCTTGCGGGAAAAGCGGGCGCAGATGGCGGAAGGGTCGGAACGCCTTGACGGCACCGTGGGGGTGGCGGAGTCAACGGCAGCAGCGGGAGTGGCGGCAATATGAGGGGGCGAGGCACCAGGGAGGCAGTGAGAGGGAGCGGAACAATCGGGATACGCTTGATCAGAAAGAGCAGCGGAAGCCATCCCGCCAAGCCACGCCAAACGTAACTTCAAATGCTTTATGTCATCCAGAAGCGGGGTCCAATTTCGACTCCAGCGCGGGTATTTTTGTGATAGCAACGAGGGATATTTTAGGGGAAAGTACATGCCAACTCCATAGTTTCATACTTCTTTAAGATTTAGTCTCAAATTTACTCATAAGGTATAACTAGATGGAAATTTGCTCACGCGAGGCCCACATTATGTTCAAAACTGGTCCTGCGAGGCAAACTTTTCGACACGTATCCATTTTCGCATTGGAAAAACTTTGACGCGGGCAAAAAACATAAAGCCCCTCGGGAACCAGGACACATTTGCGCGAGGGAGCAACCCTAAACACCTAGAGGGTCCCCGTGTTTAGGGTTGATCCCTCTCGAAAGTGCGTCCTGGTTTCCCTAGGGGTTTTATGTTTTTTTCTCCGTAAAAAAAATATCGGTGCAAAAATGGACACGTGTCGAAAAGTTTGCCCGCATTACCAATTTTGAACATAATGTGGGCCTCGCGTGAGCAAAATTCCATAAAGCTGTACTTTTGAGTAATTTTGGGACTAAATTTGAGAGATTTTTGAAACTAAGGAGCTGGGATGGGAAGTACTTGTGAATCAAGAAAACAGGAATGAAATGACTAAGTGAAAGTTGGGTACAAAAGGCAAACCCTATGCAACTGTACCCCATATGTGCTACCCCACTATAGCCTACAGTAGCTATGTCATATAAATCTGACACACCCCCATAGGCAAAGTGGGGGAGAACAAGGGGTCACAAGACCAGTCAAGCAAAGCAAAGCAAGCTCAGGGTGGATCACAAAGTCACCACACATTCCGAGCACAAGTTCAAGGCCACAAGGCCAGTTCACATGCAGGATTACATATATATATAAGGCTAGACAAGCAAGAGCAGGAGTATATATATATGCAACAGTACAAACAAGGTCAAGAGGTGAGCAAGTGAGGCAAGGTAGGTACAAGACCCAGCTGAGTACAGAAGCGCTGATGATCACAAGGCGCAAGTGCCTTGGTGAAGATATCAGCAGTGTTGGCCTCAGAGGCCACGTACGCAAGTCGCAGCTGACCACGCTGCTGTAGCTCACGAGCAAGGAAGTAGCGAAGAGCAATGTGCTTCGTTCTGTGCTCCAGTCTCTGCTCTCGACACAAGGCCAGCATGGCCTTGTTGTCTACGTAGAGCACTGGAGGAGAACGAGGCGGCTCTCCGAGGTCAGTCAGCAGGTAGGTGAGCCAGCGAAGCTCCTGTGCAGCCATGGCCCCGGCGTAGATCTCAGCCTCACAACTGGAGCCGAGAACAGAAGACGAGCGAGTAGCCCGCCACGAAACAGAGCCGGAACCAAGGCTGAAGGTGTAACCCTGTGACGACCGCTGCGTAGCCTGGTCGTCAGCCCAAGAAGCGTCTGCGTGTCCAGTGAGGACCACTGGACTCTGCCCTCCAAGCACAAGCCCCATGCCCGACGTACTGCACAAGTAGCGCAACACCCTCTTCGCTGCAGCCATGTGCTCCGGTCTGTGTCTCCCAGGAGCAACATAGCGTGCAAGAATGCTAAGAGGGTATGCAAGGTCAGGTCGTGTGCAGGTCATCAGGTACATGAGGCAGCCAACAAGCTCTGGGTACGGGCCACTCGACTCTACGGACTCATCCGAAGGCAGAGCTGAGAGCGAGTGGCGAGTAGGCAGAGGAGTGGCCTGAGGCGAGGAGTACGTGAAGCCGAAGCGCTGAAGGACCTGCTGCACCATGTGTGACTGAGTCAGGGTAATGGTGCGGCGTGCTCTGTCCCGGGTGATCTGCAAGCCAAGGTAGCTGCGCAGTTCACCCAGGTCTGTGCACGTGTGTCTCTTCTGCAGCTCGGACTTCACGTGGGCGAGTCCAGCAGTGTCAGCTGTGGCAAAGACCAAGTCGTCGACGTACACGAGGATGTAGAATGGCTGCAAAGAAGTGTCGGTGCGCAGAAACAGCGACGGGTCGGCAGTAGAGGGAGCAAACCCAAGAGCCGCAAGTGTAGTCCTCAGTGTGTCGTGCCACTCACGCGGTGCCTGGCGGAGACCGTAGACTGGCCGCCGGAGGCTCCACTGGGTGCCAGGAGGAAAAGACCCAGTGAAGCCAGGTGGGCGACGCAGCCAGATCTCCTCGTGCAGGCTGCCCTGCAAGAAAGCAGTGCTGAAGTCAAGAGAGTGCAGCTCGTAGTCGCGGTGAGCAGCTATGTGCAGCAGTACCCGAAGAGTGGTCATCTTCGGGGTGGGAGAGAAGGTCTGAAAGTAGTCAACTCCCTGCCGCTGACTGAAGCCACGAGCCACGTAACGCGCCTTGAAGACAGGCGGAGAACCCGGCGGCCGCTTCACCCTGAAAATCCACATGCCACTGACGATGTTCGCCCCAGGCGGGGGAACCTCGTCAACGTAGGTACCTGTGGACTTCCAGGAAGCCATCTCTGCATCCATAGCTGCCTGCCACTGAGAGGAGTAGGGACCCTCTATCGCCTCCGCGTAAGAGCGCGGAGTCGGGATGTCAAGTGCATCCGGGTCTCCCTCAGGGGTAAGCAGTACGGACACGAGATGAGGTGAAGCAGCAGCCAAACACTGGAACTCCTCCTGCCTATCCTCAAGGACGTCCGTGCCAAGGGCACACTAAAAAAAAAAAAAAAAAAAAGGAAGCGCAGCGCGGTAGCGAGTGTCACTAGTGCGTAGGTGCGTAATGAGGTCAGCGACTGTGGGAAAGGCAGCAAGGTCAGGGAAGAGGTACGGTAGCATGAGGCGACTCAGTGCAGCAGTGGCAGGGGAGGAGTAGCGTGCAACTACAGCGTCGTACAAGGTCTGAGCACTCTTGTACTGGCTAAAGTGCGCACGCTCAGAGGTAGGCAGGTGGCGACGCACAGCAAGACGTGCAGCAGCATCGCGCGTGGCCCACTGGGAGCGAACAGTTGCGTCAGCATCAGTGGCAGGGGCAGGAGAGGCACCAGAAGTGAGGTCAAAGAGGGAGAGGCCGTCTGCCCTATCGCACTGTAAGAAAAGCTGCAGGTCATCTATCCAGACGTCAAAGTCAATGGCCCGACCCTCAGCGTCAAAAGCGAGGACACTAGGGGTAGCCATGACAGCAGTAGACTAGCAGCGCAAACAGTGGGGTGAGGGCAGTGCTGTGAGAGAGGCGCTGCTCTTACCGGACAGGGCGGCTCGGGCGGCTCGGCTGCAGGGCGGCTCGGCTGCTGGGCGGCTCGGCGGCTGGGCGGCTCAGCGGCTCGGCTGCTGGGCGGCTCGGCGGCTCTGCTGCTGGGCGGCTCGGCTGCTGGGCGGCTCGGCGGCTCGGCTGCTGGGCGGCTCGGTGGCTCAGCTGCTGGGCGGCTAGGCTGCTGGGCGGCTCGGCGGGGCCGCTGAGAGGGCGGCGTCCGGGGCCGCTGGGAGGAGGCGGCGGGGCCGCTGAGAGGAGGCGGCGTGGCCGGAAAGGTAGGTGGCGGGGCCGCGTCAGGGGCCGCGACAGGGGCCGCGTCAGGGGCCGCGTTAGGGGCCGCGGCAGGGGCCGCGTCAGGGGCCGCGGCAGGGCCGCGTCAGGGCGCCGCCAGGGGCCGCGGCAGGGCCGCGTCAGGGCCGCGGAAGGGGCCGCGGCAGGGGCCGCGTCAGGGGCCGCGTCAGGGCCGCGTCAGGGCCGCGGCAGAGCCGCGTCAGGGCCGCGTCAGGGGCCACTTCAGGGCCGCGGCAGGGGCCGTAGCAGGCCGCGTCAGGGCCGCGTCAGGGGCCGCGGCAGGGCCGCGTCAGGGCCGCAGCAGGGGCCGCGTCAGGGCGCCGCGTCAGGGGCCGCGTCAGGGCGCCGCCAGGGGCCGCGGCAGGGCCGCGTCAGGGCCGCGTCAGGGCCACGGCAGAGCCGCGTCAGGGCCGCGTCAGGGGCCGCTTCAGGGCCGCGGCAGGGGCCGCGGCAGGCCGCGTCAGGGCCGCGTCAGGGGCCGCGGCAGGGCCGCGTCAGGGCGCCGCCAGGGGCCGCGTCAGGCCGCGTCAGGGCCGCGTCAGGGCGCCACCAGGGGGCGCGTCAGGGGCCGCGATAGGGCGCCGGCAGGGGCCTCGTCAGGGCGCCGCCAGGGGCCGCATAGGGGGCGCGTGGGAGGCGGCGTAGGGGCCGCGTAGGGGCAGCGTAGGGGCCGCTAAAAAAAAAATTTAGGGCAGGGCGCAATGTGCGCGGGCAGCTAAAAAAAAAAATTCTTATGGTGGGCCCTTAGGAAGGAACGGTCCCATGTAGGAACCCGCTCTATACCATGTGAATCAAGAAAACAGGAATGAAATGACTAAGTGAAAGTTGGGTACAAAAGGCAAACCCTAGGCAACTGTACCCCATATGTGCTACCCCACTATAGCCTACAGTAGCTATGTCATATAACTCTGACAGTACTTTCCCATATTTTATCATAAACATGAAAATCGTAGGGCGCGTGTCTTTTGGTGTAGAAGTTCTAGAGAAAGGTCGACCTTTTGCTGGTAACCGGTTTGTGAAAAGTAAAAACGATAATGAATGAACTAGCAGCAATGTGGGTACAAGTAGGAAACCCTAATTGGGTTGTACCCCATATGGGCTACCCCACTACAGCCTACACAGACTATAGCATATAAGTTTGACACATCCCCATAGGCAAAGTCGGGGAGAACAAGAGGTCATAAGACCAGTCAAGAAAAGCAAAGCAAGCTCAGGGTGGATCACGAAGTCACCACGCATTCTGAGCACAAGCAAATGGCCACAAGGCCAGTTCACATGCAGAGTTATATAAAGGAGAACAAACAATGCAGTGATCACAACCTATCAAGTGAAAGCATGCATGTATATGTATATAGATCACAGTACAAGCAAAGTCAAGAAGTGAGCAAGTGAGGCCAAGTAGGTACTGAGAAGAAACGAGGAATGGAATGACTAAAAGAAAGTTGGGTACAAATGCAAACCCTAGGAAAACTGTACCCTATATGTGCTACCCCACTATAGCCTACAGTAGCTATGTCATATAAA